ACAATAGCATAAGAATTTGGACATTTAGCCTCACAATGATAAAATAAATTACTGTTGGTTCTACAGCTAATACAAATTTGTAAGAAGATGTAATATATACAGCTAATACAAATTTGTAAGATGTTGCTGACTCAAGTGAAATTATTATGCTGCAATAATCACAGAAGAACTTTGGTTTTAAAGTTTGTTTTCATGTAATATTTTATTTAATGTTGCATTATTTGTGAAAGCCAAATAAATTGTAGAGAAGCTGTTCAGCAGCAGGTTTGGTCTACAGAGCTGTTTGTCCAATAGGCAGCCTCCCTTAGAGTCAGGTTTAGAAATAAGCTCAAAATCAAGGTGGAGTAAATTATTCCCAAAGATAGTTACCCATAATAATAGCCTACCATACCTTTTTCTGTCTATCATCAGAGTGAATGCTGAATCACCGGGTTTGTTACCTTATTCAAACAGACGTTAAGTTCATCTTCTAACAAACCCAATGAGTTTAATTGAGCTAGACACTGCAGTTCTGATGAAGAACCTTAAATATGCAACACAGAGAACAAGAAAGATATTTATGGCAGTCTTTGTGGAAACCCCTGCAATCTAGTGAATCACTTTGGTAAGCTGTACCTGAATGACCTCAGCAGGTAAACTAAACCACCTGCTGCAGGGTAAGGCAGGGGAGGGGAGAAAGAGAGGTAATCGATTTTGTCTGCCTGGGAAAAATTTCTCTTCTGAGATTTGTGGAATTTGCATGCTGTGCCTTTGAGCATCATACCAGGCATACACCCACGCGGATTCTCTGAATGAGGCTGCAGCACTAACCAACCCCAGTATCCCATCTGCAGCTGAGATCAATATTTGATAGTTTGTAGGAAAGTGGAGTAGAAGGCACAAACAGGAGACGAATTATGCATCAGAAGAAAAAATAAATATCCCTTGATCCCACAGGCAGTCAACTAAAAAAACCCCAAGGTTTGAGATTTTTATTGAAATTGTCTTAGCACAGAGCTACAAACACGAGTTATATTGTGCAGACAATCCTGCATTCCCAAAGATTCACTGCAGAAGAGGATGAGAAAATCAATGGAGGGAGTTAAATCCACAGATTCCAGGCCAGAAGAGATCGCAACAGCCATCCAAACTCAACCTTTTATATTTTTACCCACATTCAGACTAAACTAATTCTTGACATAAAGATCTAAAGCACACCTTCAAGAAAAAACGTCCCAGGGCTGCCGATTCTGTCATGTCCTCTGCTGAGCTCTTCCACACATCCCAACCTCCATACCTGTCGTTAACTTTTCCCTAACAATATATATATGACCTAGATGTCTTTGCACTTTCTCTTTGTTAACCTGAATAATTTTAGCCATTCCAACCTTGCATTTTTATGTTTGCCTTCTGATCCAGGGTTACACTGACAATTTCTTAGCACTCCTCTACTCATTTCCCATTCTCGCAGTGTGCATTCCAGGAACTGGACATTTTACAATAGTGTCAGTCTCACCAGTGGTGTAAGCAAAGAGAAGATCACCGTAGGACTCTTACTTGTGATCCACTTATGTTGAAGAATTGCATCAACTCTTTTTGCCATGATATTGCATTGAGAACACATAGTAGAGTGTTTATCTGTATAAGCCCATAAGCTTTTCTTTCCATCACTGCTCTTCAATTCCAGTCTCCTGCCTATAATAATGATCGGTTAACCAGGTGAGACAGATCACTTGGTAGGAGTACCCTGTCTTCCTCTTTATTTTTCTTAATGATACTATTTTTATTCGTTGTAATGTGTTGCCCATTAATTCTGTGTAATGTAAGCTTTGGAATCACAATGTCATAAAATAAATCAAATACCTTGAAGAAAACCCAATATACAGTTTCAGCGTAGTTGCCTCTATCAAACCTAAGCCTGTCAAACATTGTTTAACAACGTTGTTCTGCAAAATGCTATCAGGTATTAATTATATTGCTAGCCGGTATTTTGTAGGAAGAATCCTGGATTTATTGTGCCACTATTTTATTTGGGACTGATGTGAGGATAACTTATGTACAGACCCTTGGGTGTCTGTTTTCGCCTTTTAGCAGCACAGAACAATCTTATTTATCCAATGCTCTGGAGTTTCCAAAGTTTTCAGAAATTTGAGAACTATTACAAACAGGAAATTTTGTTATTTTAAGGACTGTTTTGTGTACATCATCCAGGGCTGGTGACTTGATAACTCATGTTCTTTAGAGAGGCTTCCTCACGTTCTCCTTTGCTCAAGACAGAATGCTTTCTATTTTAGTGATGTCCTTAGATGGATAATGTGGCTCTTCAGTGCTGCAATTTGTGCCCAGCCAAGAGGTTTTTATGTGATACTACTCTTTGTTTTAAATTAAACGGGGATTTCTTTGACGTAAGAACTCTACTTCTCTGAATGCTTTGTGAAATGTGAGGGATCCCTGAACTTCTTTGTGGTGAAGACATCAAGATAATAAACAAAATAAATCAATCAGTTGTGTAAATGGACAATGTTAAGGACTAGGTATTATTTTCTTCTGTAGACTTTTTAACCCTAGGTAACAAAAATTTCAAAACAAATGTATGTTTATGGCTCTTATTTACATTTGAGCTATCAATGAAAAAAATCATCATTATGTTGTGTGACCATCAACTATCACATTATCCAGCCTGACAAGCTATTGATTGGAATGAGACTTCCATATAAATTAATATGATTACTTTTGAAGACTGTATTTATGCTCAATGCTTGCATAGATTTTGATATAATCTTTTATCTGAGAATCTCCATGCATTTTGCAAGTGTTCGTTTAATTTATGCACTTCAGGAGTTAACTACTTAATCCAATATAGAGATGAAGGCCCGAGTTCAGTGAAAGGTATAATTACTGTCCAGTAAAGGCTGCCTTTTGAAGAAGTCTGACTCTCAGTTTTCTGTTCTGATCATTTGAATAAATTTTCTTCTGACTTGAGAACAAAGGCTTTAATTTATGTCATTCACAGTATTTGCTATTCCAAATGCTGTTTCACGCCGTGTGTGTGACTTGCAAGAAGAGCCCTAGGGACTGTGTATTTTACTCAGGGTCCTGTTAGCAATTTTAAGGGAAAGTTCTTTATTTGGGTGAAATGTTCTTGGTAGGATTAGTTAATGAGGCATGATGCTGTAAATCCTGTTGGCCAAATGTACATGGCATGTAGAAAAGTAGATAACTGAGAAGGACTTGCATTCTGATACTGTTGTTTGGATTTGGGTAGCATATTACTCTCACCTATGGACCAAAAATGCATTGTTCAGAGCACTGTTCAAGCAGGGGGAATGAACTTGGCTAGTTGTTGACAGCTGTTCAATGTCTCTTGAGTTATATGTGCCATTTCTCACATTGTGGTTTACTCATAATTGGGAACAGCTCTTTGTCTAGACAATTTTCTTTTTTCTATAAAATTGCTTAGCACCGTGGTACAACATCATTGGGGATTTTCAGTGCTAGGGTAAGTAAAAGGATATATGCAAAAAACCCTAACAGAAGTTGAAAAAACTTTAATATTCTGTAGTAGCCAGTAATCTGAAACCACAATAACTTTCTACAAAGTGTTATCTCTTTTTATTCAAAATTAATGTTTGAAATCTTTTTCTTTAGAAGTTACTATTAATTCCACACTTCACAATCTAATTTTCCTTCCTAAACAGCAGCTCCGATAATCCTGTCCTAAACTCCATCAATCCCACCACACTTCCCAGCCTTGATCCTAAAATAGTTTAGTAAGCTCTGAAAATGAGGCTTCATTAATTTTACAGAACATACCAGAGGACATTCACTAGTGCTGTATATCTAGAGTTTCTGTGGAGTCAATTAAAATACAGCTACATTTTTCTGAGTAAGCGAAGCTTATTTTTTATGATACCATACCCTTTTTCTCCAGTCATATTTACTTCCCACTTCATAAAATTCAGGGATCTGTAATGAATTTCTCAGACATTACTGAGGATTAGTAAAGTTCTTTTGTGTTTCCTTTAGGCTTAATTTACAACTTGCCTTATGCTTTCTACATTTTTATAACAAAATAGTTTCATCTGATTAAATATGAATCTCTTACATGGGTTTTAAATAATGTGAAAGAATCAGCACTCAATCTATTCAATCTCTTATTAGAAATAGTGGGAAATTTGGAACCTTTTTTTTTTAAATCAAGGCTTATGTAGTTATTGTGTATTTCTTGGTAATTTTGCAGGTATTGATACAAACAGATACAAAGCCTTTTTCATAGGAGCCACAATTAATTTTGTAATTTTTTTTTTCTTTAGTTCAGGTGTATTTGATTATTTTTCTTATGGAAACTTATAAATCAAGTAAGTGGTAGAAGGAAAAAATTACAACAGTTCATCCCACAGTGTTTTAAATGTTCTACAAATGGACCTATTTAGCTTTAACCCTCCTTTGCTGACATTCAGCTTTTGTGATGATCTGGTATTCTGTGGCCCAGCACTAAACACACAGGACATGGACGGTCTTAAGATATAGTACGTATCTTTGTCAATCCAGTTACCAGAGATACAGAATAGTACAGAAGTTTTGCTAGAATCACTTCTAACGAGATCTGTGAATATGGTGTCCAGCAAAAGCTTTTTTCTTTGCAAAACTTTACTTTGGTATATGGCCCTTTTCATAGTGAATATGGTTGGACCATAAGGTGTCAGAGTGGCAGTGATATCTAGGTGAGAGCGGTTTTACGTTCAAGATGTCACTTCAGCAATCCCATTTTTGCCACAGAAAATGTTTCCATTTAAGTGAAATCATATTTTTGAGTGAGGTGAACATGTTATATGGCATAAACTGGTATTTTTGAAGCTCATGAGGCAAACCAACAAAACTAGATATTATGAGTGCGATTCTCTCAGTCTTGTTTGCGTATTGTAATAAAGATATTCTAATGACTGTAATATGCTGGTTTTCTCTACAGATGTTGTATTAAATAACGTGTTTGCTAACTGTTAATGCCTTTGTTGTTGCAGATACAGCAGTGGTGTATAAAAATAGGAATGGACATGTTGTTGAACTGAATGTAGAAACAAATACAACTACATTATTATTGGAAAATACAACTTTTGTAAGTAATATATATTATTTACTCATTTCTTAGTGGAAGTCTGCTAGCATTTTTTCCTGCAACAGGAGTGAGAGAGTATAATACTGAAAGGTTACAGAAAATACATTTATAACCTAGAGTAGATTATACATAAATGGAAAGTATAATCCATTCCTCTGTCAGTGCACGATTTCTGGCTTATACTTGTTGTTTTATTCAACCTACGTGTAAATGACCAAGATGTTGGAGGAGATGTTGTTGGCTGTAGTCTATGCTTTGTTCAGGCCACTTGAAGGATCATGCTCGGCATATGTGCTGGTGAATCTACCTGATGTCTATTATAATAAGAGATACCATAAAATGGGGGAATGATACTCAAAATATTGAGAGCTTTTCCCTATTAGAAAAGCAGAAAAGTGTTCAAAAGTCATATGAAGATTTTCTTTTAAGCAATTAAATATGCAAAGAAAAATTTATTTCCTGGTCCTGTTAATCTCTGGCTTACTTGTTCCTCTGTGCTTTAATGGCAAACTAGATGGTTGGGGATTATTCCTCTTGGCCAGTAAATAGTGTATAGATGAGTGGTTTGCACATGTTTCTGACTAACAGTAATTGCTAAGAAATGTTTTAATGCCTTAGTCTATATTTTCTCTTGCTTTGCTTGGTGCTGTTGTTCTCAGTGATACCACTTACAGCCTACCCTGTAATTCTCGTTTATCAGGGTTTTGCAGCATAAACGTGTGGCTTGTCAATCTTTCCTCATAAGTACTCCATACAGACCAGTGGCTGTTACTGTTAATCCCTGTATTTTTAATTTAGTAAAATCTTTTGCACCTGTAGATCCAAAAGGATGACTCATTTTCATCAGTGGTCTTTGACAAAGGTTGATTTTATTCCAGACCAGTTCCTGGCCTTTGCTGATACAGAGTCCTCATTTCAAAGCATAAAGCCCCTGGTGACTTTTTCTTCTAATTCCTCGAACTAGAAAGAGGAGAGCAGAAGTTCAGGAGAAAGAACTTGACGCTGACTTCCTAGGTCAATGTAAAGATGAAGGAGAAGGGAGGAGAGAACTGTATTTTAATGGAGTGTGTGTGAGGCTCCCTTTCTGTAAGTTGCACCCTTCCATATGCTGGGATGTGCCTCAGGGTACCTCCTAGCCCAAAAAAGACTGGCAGACACAATTAAAAGTGGGTGAAAAGGTGAATTTCTGTAAAGTACAAACCACAATGTATTGCAGATGCATTTTTCCTCTTACCTGTGTATGTGTGTGTGAGCACTTGCCTGGCTAAGTAGAGGATTAACTGTGTCAGGCCTACGTATTGCCTTTAGTGTATAACTTGAATGCAAGCAGCTGCTTGGACGTCCCTGGCTATAAAACTTGACTTTAATGACAAGACTTGAGTTTTCTCACAGATGAATTCATACGCTTTTGGCTGCAAGTATTTGGCTCATGCTATGTCAAGTGTAATGCCAGCATGACAGGCTATTCAGGCCATTATGCTAAACCAATCTTGCCAAGTAATGATGGATCAGTATGGACAGGCTGCTTCACACTGCGAACGTCGCCTCTTTTCACAAAGTTGTTCTTCTCTGGGCTTTTTATGGAACTGATTTATCCTTAAGCCATGCAGACTGAGAGAGCTCTAGATACTAGATATCTACTCTTAATTAGAAATGTGGGAAACTGATCCAAAATGGATAATATTCAAGCAATCATTTAGCAATTAGGTATGGAACAGGGACAAATAAAAACATGTGTGTGTTTTCCTGCAAAGCTCCTCTCTGTACACAGTCAAAAGCTAAGAGTGTTAGAGGTAAATAAAGTGAATTCCAGCAATGATTATTCATATGGAAGTAGAATAAAAAGCTGAAAACAGAGCAGTAAGTTTGTTGGTGTGTGTTTGGCAGAGAGCAATGGGAAATGTTGCTGTGCCAAGTTGTCTGTTGACAAGGTGGCCAGCAATCCTAACAGATCGTAATGTTACAGAGGCAGACTGTACAGCCGAAATCAAAAGCTGTCCTGTTCTTCTAAGCTCCACTGTCCAAAAATTCACGCTGCTAAATGTACTCTTCCAAAGTTAGACACCTGGATTGTTAATCAAACATTTTTCTCGCTCAATGTCACATCTGCTTAATCACTGGTGCATAATTAGAATGGTGCTGGTTTAATGACTCTGCAGAGATGTCTTGTATTAATAAAAAACATAGCACAGATCCAACATAGGCAGTGGCAATGCAAGTTCCTTCATTCTTCTCTATCAAAAGGTTTTAGTCATGGAAGAATCACCTTTCGATGGGAGTTATTAGTCTCCTTTCAATCTGTGTTCCCTCTCCTGTTTGCCTCTCTGTTCAAGCAGCCTGCCGAAGTCGCAGGTTTTTCTTAGTAATGTTGATAATTGTCCATTGAAAATTGAACTGCCATGATAAACTCATTGCGCAGAGGCAAGGGGCTAGTAATGACTCTTTGTCACCACTGATTGGGCTGTATTTGAACCAGCAGCTCAGAAGAGATTTTCTTTTTTCCTCATTACTAATCCCCTGAAGCAGTCTTCCACTGTGTACAGATCACTGGCTCTTCTTTTGCATCTTAGAGACTGTCATTTTTGTGCAAAGTACATTTCTTTTATCCTTCTTTGTGTTGCTTATTGCCTAAAAGTCAAAGATAGCCCTACTGAAGAGCCACTATGCTCACTATGCATGTGTATCAGCCAAAAAGCAGACTGCAGGTTTTTTTGAAAACATATGTTATATATAAAAAAGATTTAAAAAAACCCACTTAAAAAAATACCATTAAAAATAGCCATGCACCTGGAAAGAAGAAAGGCTTTTGTTTTGTTCTTCTAAGATGCCCATTTCTCTTCCATAAGGAAATATCTATCCAAAGTTCCTGAGTTAAAAGTATTTTTTTTCCAGTTTCATTAGGTTTTATTCAGACAGTAGAAGAAATTACTGCACTTCATTTGTCCGTTTCAAATGGAATCCTTTTCTATAATCAATCTATTAGTAAAACAATCTGGCCTTTATGTAATTAAATATTAGCACAACAATATTATGGATAACAGATACACTGATACAAGTGAAAAGAGTAGCTTGTAAAGCACAAAGAATATCTATTAACATCTCTGGAGATAATAATTTAAAGACATTTTCTAATACATATTTGTCCTCTGAGTGTATTCGTGTAGTGCATCCTGTTTAAGCTGTCTAATAAACAGTTAATATTATGAGCCAGCGGCATATAAATGTTAACAGCTGGAGGCTGGGCAAGGCTTCTATTAAATGGAGCCAAAAAAAGCCCTAGACATTAATCACTGTGTGGCATCCTGATGTTTGCGATGCTGCTTCGATACGTGATTACAATATGTTCTCTATCATCTATCTGAGGTGCCTATCACCATAACCGTAAGTGACATGCCTACCAGTTCTTCAGCATTTAGCAATACTTTATTACACATTATAGTTCCAAAATAAGTAACTTTATGCCACATTTATCTAAGTAATTTTGGTGTTTAACAAGCATTTTGTTTATACCTTTTGCTGTCAACTATTACATAAAGTCACTAAGAGCAGGTTACCGGTTCACACACAAGCCAGCCACAGGATCTGGCTACACTGGAGAGGAGAGCATGGAGGACCACATGGTTTCTTCTGCTCAGGGGAGGTTGTCCATCTGGTCCCTTATCATGCTTCTAGCTCAGCCTCTCTAGTCTGTTTTGCAATCCTTAAACCCAAACCAAAATGAAAAAAGCAAACACAGCGATGAGAGAAAACGTGCGTAGGGACTGTGTGTTCTGTTATGGTACTTTCCAAATGTGTTGAATCCTCTGAAAGAAATCTTTAGAAATTTTGCCTTCATTTTTCCCTTTTAAAAAAAGCTGCAATAATTATGAAAGTGGTATGACTTTTATTTGTTAGCCCTCAGTTCCACTGCTTTTGTGGTGGACAAATGCAAAATTATTCCGATGCCATGCAAACACCCTAACAAACACTCAGTCCAGGATCCTGGGTCAGAGATGAATCTAGCGTGACTCCTTAAGCCTTTTGAGTGTAGATGATGGGTTATATTTTGAATCATCAAATAAGAGGCTATTGATTTGTTTGCAATGCCTGACGATGCAAGTATAATTGTTTTCAGTTTGGAAATTCTAGAATAGGGTCTTGTATTTACAACAGCTTCCCCCCCCCAGCTGTATGCTTTGGACTCTTTTTAAACCCAGCAATTCCTGACTTGCTCTCCCCCTTGATTTCGGTGCCTTTCCACAACTCTTTTCAAGCTCAAGGGGAAACCGCATCCTGGTGCACAGCAAACAAATACTACTAAGTTGCAAACCTGTTTCCAGGGGCTTGCCGGGAGTATACCGTAGAGTATGTTGTATCGTCATATTACTGTGGACCATCTTTTACACAAGGATGGAAAGAGAAAAGGATTACTTCTTGCTGCCTGCTAATTAGGGGATGGCGTCAGAAGGGTGAGCAGAGCAGGAGTAGTCTTGGCTCATGATTAGGCTGTGGCAGCCCAGCTGTGAAAACCCTGTGGAGGCCTTGCAGCCAAAAGCAGAGAATGAGAGTTTTAGTCCGAGCAGAGCTTTTGGCAGGGGCTGTTTTGTGCTGTTTTACAGAGCGTTGTTCATAAACAGCCCTTCTTGTTGATAGTTCTCTTCTTTTTGACTTTTTTTTTGTTTTGTGTTCCCCACCACCGCACCCCCTTCCTCTTTTGATGGGAAACTCAGTGTGGCATCTTAGTGCAATTATAGTTCCTTTGTTGATTAATGTAGATTTAATTGCAAGAGTAGTTTACATGCTTATATTTTAAGACCCTTGCGTAAGAGATTAATGAAAGGGTGAATAATGGTAAATACATTAAACAACATTATATAACCACATAAATATTAGTAATTGTTGCAACACTGGACATTTTAATGACCCACACGTTGTAAATAGGTGATTATGAACATTGTAACATTATCTCTGCTCTTCCATGCTCCTCTAAATGTTAAATAAGCCCCTCAGCAAAACCTTTT